ATTCTACATTGGACTTCAATCCCACATTCTAAAATGCACTTCTGTCCCACATTCTATATTAAATTTTAAGGCCCCACATTCTACATTGGACTTCGGTCTCACATTCCACATTGGACTTCGGTCTCACATTCTTTATTGACTTTAGGTCCCACATTATACATTGGACTTCGGTCCCACCTTCAACATTAGGTTTCAGCTCCACATTCTATACTGGACTTCAGTCCCACATTCTATATTTACTTTAGGTTTCACATTCCACAATGGACTTCGATCCCACATTCTAAAATGCACTTCTGTCCCACATTCTATATTAAATGTAAGGTCCCACATTCTACATTGGACTTCAGTCTCACATTCTACATTGGACTTCGGTCCCACATTATACATTGGACTTCGGTCCCGCATTCTACATTGGACTTCGGTCCCGCATTCTACATTGGACTTCGGTCCCACATTCTACATTGGACTTCGGTCCCGCATTCTACATTGGACTTCGGTCCCACATTCTACATTGGACTTCGGTCCCGCATTCTACATTGGACTTCGGTCCCACATTCTACATTGGATTTCAGTCCCACATTTTACATTGGACTTCGATCCCACATTCTACATTGGACTTCGATTCCACATTTTACATTGGACTTCGATCCCACATTTTACATTGGATTTCAGTCCCACATTTTACATTGAACTTTGGTTCCACATTCTACATTGGACTTCAGTCCCACATTTTACATTGGACTTTGATCACACATTCTACACTGGACTTCGGTCCCACATTTTACATTGGACTTCGATCCCACATTCTACATTGGATTTCAGTCCCACATTCTACATTGGACTTCGATCCCACATTCTACATTGGATTTCAGTCCCACATTCTACATTGGACTTCGGTCCCACATTCTACATTGGACTTCGGTCCCACATTCTACATTGGACTTCGGTCCCACATTCAACAATAAACTTCGGTCCTACCTTCTACAATGACTTTAGGTCCCGCATTCTACATGGACCTTATGTCACATTCTACATTTCCTGAACCGTCTCTATAAGTAGTATAAATAGTGACACTCCGCAGATGTGTTTTCTAACATTTTATATAAGTAGCATTTCCCGGGAGGCCCCATAACTGAGTTCTATAATTGCGGCTTCGCCTTTTCCTGTTTAATTTTCATGCCGCAACTATCCAAGCTCCGATCAATAGATCCGTTGTGTGTTCAGTTGTCCAATTTAAACATCAGCTAAATGTGTGAATTTATTACCCGCAAAGTCAGCAGGTCATTCCTTGTCATGTGACAGCACCACACGACCTCTCCCTGATTAACGTACGCTGCGACAGACTCTTATAGAACCCACAGGAAGTGTCATGATACAAAATAACATGTGAGATGTAACCAGAGTTATATCATCGAGATTTTGTTTTGCCTTGAAAAACTGGGGGATTTTCTGCATAAGAAATGTTTACACTTGCCTGTACTGCCAACTGAGGCCAAATAAATATTTATCATTTCCTATAAAGAGACTTAGTAGTGCACTAAAACAAAACACCATAAACACTTATAACAATATAAGTATACAAACATTTCAGTATTCTGGATTTCCCAGGTGGTTCCTGTTCATTCTATTTTTGACAGGTATCGGTGTTGGCACTTGGCACCTTTTAAAGCTTTATATTTCTGATCTTTGGTTATTTGTTTACACTTTAGCTTTAACAATCATTGTCAGGGGTATTTGTATGGCGCTCTCCTCTTTTGTATATCTAGTAATAAGTAATCATTAAACAATGTTTGGATTTGCTCTGTGGCTCCAGGATCCTGTTCTAGGGAAGGTGATCACTAACAATCAGTCTGCGTATGGTGAACTTGCATCCATTGACTATGCTATATGAACAGAATGTACTCAATGTACTATGGTAGGTTATGGCAATTCAAAGGCATCTGAACTTGGTAGCGCTGTCATTGACCTGCACTGTACCTTTCCTCGCTACTTTTTAACTTATTTTGACCTCGTGGGTCAATATGCTTTAGAAGCAGGGACAGTACACAAGCACAGTATACAGTGAGTGGCAGCAGTTTATATTATTATTAAATATAGGTATGCACCAGTACCAGTACTTCCGGGAGCATGGAGCCGGCTTTCCGGCCAATCAGGAAGCCGGGCGGAGGGTCAGTACCCGCTGCCCGGCTTCCTGACCAGGAAGCTGACTCCATGCTGTTTGGCCTGCTCAATGCTGATCGTTTGGGAAACCGGCTGCCGGGCCAATCAGGAAGCCGGGCAGCGGGTCATTACCCAGTGCCCGGCTTCCTGATTGGCCAGGAAGCCGACTCTAGGCTGTTTGTGCTGTTTGGCCGGCTCAATGCTGATTGCCTGGCTTCCCGGCCAGTCAGCATTGAGCCGGCCAAACAGCATGGAGCCAGCTTCCTGGTCAGGAAGCCGGGCAGCGGGCCATGTTCCCTCGCGGCACTGCCGATCAGAGGTAATCTCACTCTGACCAGAAGTTCCGGTATCGGGGGTAAGAATCGGAGCATTCCTATATATAAGTATTGTGCATCCCTAATTAAATATATATTATTTCCTATTCCTATATTCCAATAACACTTCACCCCAACATTACCTGATTAATACTAGCTTGTACATACCCCATCATTATGAGGCCATTTTTCATTGTTGTGATAGTTTGACTGACAATTACTGGGCAATGCAATGCGGATGATGAATTTTTTATCTTTTAGACCAGTGGTTCCCAACCTGTGTACCCTCAGGATCCACATTTGTCCTCGGTCATTAAGTCGCGACCCAAGTCACACTGCAATGGAACGCACGGCATTGAGGTACCATGTGTTCCTGGTGCAGGCGATCGAACTGTGGGTGGGAGGTGCGTTTGAGGTGCCATTCAAATGAATGGCAACGCAGCGCACCTCTCACACCGGAACACGCGGTATGTGTGATTGCATGGTGCAGTGCAATAATCGCATAAGACAGTGCGATTAACTCGCTGTACTAGTGTGAACGGGCCCTAAAAAACAGACACACACAACCACAGACACTGTCAGGAACTGGAGTGGATCCTCAGCCTGGGGTCCAGTGTTGGCTGCTGTGCTGTGACGGAGCTCCGTCCATATGTGTATTGCTTGTACAGCTCCCTTGTGCACCCTGTAGAGGTGCCGGGAGCAAGAACGTGACGTCACTCCGGTCCAGGCATCTCTACAGGGCATGAGAAGGAGCTGTAAGTAATGCAAGTATGGATGAAGCTCCCTCACGGCCATACCCACAGCCCACCAAACCTCAAGCTGACACCCATGCTGCCAGAAACTGAGTTAGCTTGCAAGTTCCTGCGCACTCTGCTATCTGTCAGCAGCGTTATCAGCCCTGCTCTGTTCTCTCCGTGGGCTACAGAACTCTTCCCCTGTGTTATGGAAAAGATGGTACGGCGGTGGGTGTTCGGTATTCCTAACACATTTTCTGTGCTACGTTGACAACGTTGCTGCTCCATAGATACAGTACAGTGAGTGAGCATTGTCCCCCTAGGACAGGAAGTTATAGTGGCAGGAACACTAGGTAAAAAAAATAAAAGGATGAGTCTGAAAATGAAAACTAATGTATCCCCCACATCTAAGGACTGATCAGCCACAGCATTTTACAATTTCGCTCTTGAGCTTAGATACATTTTAACTTGCTGATCCTGCTGGGATCATGCTTTCTATCCGGGGGTGACAATTATTAATATTATTATTATTATACAGGATTTATATCGCGCCAACAGTTTGTGCAACGCTTTACAATATGAGGAAGACATTACAATCACAATTCAAGACAAGATGGTAAGGAGGGCCCTGCCCCTGAGGGCTTACAATCTAAAATGGAGGGGGAGGTGATACATGAGGAGGTAGCTGTGCGGGGATGAATTGTTGACGTTGTAGAGTAGGTACGTGTTACAACTCCTGTCACGTTGGGGATTTTTTTTGTCCATTTGTGTCCCATTGGAGAGAATTCCCTTCACTTCCTGTCATGTAGACAAAACAGGAAGTGGGAGGAAATTTCTCCAAAGTGAGGGAAACTCCTGTTTTTTTTAAATTTTTCCTCACTTTCAGCTCCAGCGAAAGTGGTCACCAGGACAAATAGAAAGAATCTCTCCAGCGGGGACATAGAGAGCTGCAATAGAAACCTGACAGAGGTTCTAACTTTTCCATGGAATTTGGATATAAGTACAGATCCAAAACCTAGGCGACATTTATATTGATGAAGTAAACATTTTTAGGAGAAAATTAGTATGCAAAAATAAATTTAACTAAAAACATCTTCAGACATCTCAACTCTCCCGGAAGCTCCGGGAGTCTCCCGCTATTGGATAGCGGCTCCCGGCCGCCCGGGAGAGAAACATTTTCTCCCGGAAAGGTTTAATCTGCTCTATCAAGCAGATTAAACCTTTCCCTGCGATCGTTTTTTTTCCTTTTCTGACATGGGGAGCCGCGGCCTGACCGTCAGTCAGAAAAGAAAAAAAAAGACATATTACCTCTCCTCCGTGGATGGGGGGGAGCACCTCCCGGAAATGAGAAGGACACCTCCCTGAAAGTGCTTCTTTCAGGTTGGGATCCCTGCATCTTTTTAACCATACATGACATGTACTTATTTTCAAGCTTCTCCATGTTTCCATGGAAACAACAGGCAGCAAAATCTAACAAAGATTTTAAAAAAATGAAATGTGAACGAATGAAAGCACCGAGAGGACACACAACAAACACGTTGCACTGTCAGTCATCAGTAATGACAATACTGGACACAAAAAAAAAGTTTTCGTTTTTGCAAAGACAAACATGGCTTCCAGGCACTTTTGCCCTTACAAGGGCGGAGGGGGCGGAGCTTGATTCGCCAGACTCCAATAGGTTCTCGCATTTTCACAGCAGCGATGCAGTCCCGCCCCCCGCCGCTTTTGCGGGCGTAGCTTAGAACGTGGACGGCCAATGAAAATGGAGACAAGGGCCCATTGAGGAAGCTCTGCGCTCGTCACGTGACCGGAGCCTGTTCTGATGTTTTCCGGGAAGCGCTGGTAGTGTGTATCCCCGGAGATGGTGGGTGGCAGTCAGCTGGAGAATGCCAATCCGCTCATCTACCAGCGGAGCGGAGAGCGCCAAGTGACCGCACGGGACGAGGATGAGGAGCTGCACGACAAGATCGACGATCGAGAGATATTCGATATCCTGCCTGAGATAATTGGTGA